TAAATAATCAATCCACCACAATTCGGCCCTTGTCCCCACACACTAAATAATCAATCCACCACAATTCGGCCCCTGTCCCCACACACTAAATAATCAACCCCCACATTATAGCCCCTGTTCCCACACTAAATAATCAATCCACCACAATACGACCCCTGTCCCCACACTAAATAATCAATCCGCAACAATATGGCCCCTGTCACCATTGCAATAAAGCCCCAATCCCCCACAATACGGCCCCTGTCCCCACACACTAAATAATCAATCCACTACAATACAGCCCTTGTCCCCACACACTAAATAATCCATCTCCCACAATACAGCCACAGTCCCTACACACTAAATAATCAATCCCCCACAATACGGCCCCTGTCCCCACACTAAATAATTAATCCACCACAATACGGCCCCTGTCCCCACACACTAAATAATGAATCCACCACAATACGGCCCCTGTCCCCACACTAAATAATCAATCCATCACAATATGGCCCCTGTCACCACACACTAAAAAATCAATCCCCCACAATACGGCCACTGTCCCCACATACTAAATAATTAATCCACCACATTACGGCCCCTGACCCCACACTAAATAATCAATCCCCCACAATTTGGCCCCTGTCCTCACGGTAAATAATCAATCCCCCACAATATGGCCCCTGTCCCCACGGTAAATAATCAATACCCCACAATACGGCCCCTGTTCCCTCACAATAAATAATCAATCCTCCACAATACGGCCCCTGTCCACACACTAAATAATGAGTCCAGCACAATATGGCCACTGTCCCCAAACTAAATAAGCAATCCACCACAATACGGCCCCTGTCGCCACACACTAAATAATCCTTCCCACAAAATACGGCCCCTCTCCCCACACACTTAATAATCAATCCTCGACAATACGGCCCCTGTCCCCACACACTAAATAATCCACCGTAATATGGCCCCTGCCCCCACACACTAAATAATCAATCCCCTGTCCACACACTAAATATTGAATTCAACACAAAATGGCCCCTGTCCCCACACTAAATAACCAATCCACAACAATACGGCCCCTGTCCCCACACGCTTAATAATCAATCCCACACAATACGGCCCCTGTCCCCACACACTAAATAATCAATCCACCACAATATGGCCCCTGTCCGCACACACTAAATTATAATTCCCCCAAAATACGGCCCCTGTCCCCACACACTAAATAATCATTCCCCCAAAATACGGCCCCTGTCCCCACACACTTAATAATCAATCCTCCACAATACGGCCACTGTCCCCACACACTAAATAATCAATCCCCCACAATACAGCCACTGTCTATACACTAAATATTTAATCCACCACAATAAGGATGTGCAATTCCATGCCTAAAGAAGTGGCTTTTTCAATTCAATTTAGGGTTATAGCTGCTTGATCCAAGAATAAATCTGACTGCCATTCTGGGATAACTATGTAACAATGTAACAATACGGCCCCTGTCCCCACACTAAATTATTATCATTATTATGATATTTATAGAGCGCCGTCAAATTCCGCAGCGCTTAACAATCAATCAGCCGAAATATGGCCCTGTCACCATCACAATAAAGCCCCAATCCCCCACAATACTGTCCCTACCCATCCCTCCCACCCCCCACTAAAACTCTATTGTACAGTATGACAAAGCAAAGAACACCTGGGTAAACCATTTAGGAGGTAATCCACTTTGTAGCAATGAGTAACCCAAATAATAAATAAAACGTCACTTTTAATATATTGATTAAAATATTCCTATGAAATTAATATCCAAACAAATAGAACTGTCTGGCTCCTGACTCCATTATGGGGCTCAGTGTCCTGGCGCATGTGCTGTGCTGTGGTTGGCAGCAGCACAACCTTGAGAGGGATTCAGCACTCTGATATAGAGCACTTCCACTAGTAACCACTGAAGGTTCAGCATGTGCAGCAAGTAATCACAGAGCACCGGGACATCAGTTGAGCATAACCTAGAGTACCAGGTCAGCCTCCACCTCCCTATCCCCTGAATTTTTTTTAATTTATTCATGACCGTCCCAGTCTGCCCCGGCGGAGGGGCTGAATGGGGAATGCAAGAGCTTTCCCCAACTGGTTAGTATCCTGTTAGATACTGTCAAAATTGGAGCCATGGCCTCACTGGGTCCTTTGGAAAAGCCAGCCCTGCATACACACATACTGCCTAATACATAACTACATACACAAATACTGCCTAATGCGTACACCCATTCACACATACTGCCTAATACATAAAACCATACACACAATACTGTTTAAATGCATACGATAAATTGTGTGATAAATTATGGATTTAATTTATAATATTCTGACATTTAATTTATAATAATGATGGTATTTCATTTATGTTACAGTGAACATGTCTGACAGGTTCACTATAAATAAATAAAATGTTTTCAATATATAATTATATTAATACAGTTGCAAGAAAAAGTATGTGAACCCTTTGGAATGATATGGATTTCTGCACAAATTGGTCAAATTGGTCATAAAATGTGATCTGATCATGATCTAAGTCACAACAATAGACAATCACAGTCTGCTTAAACTAATAGCACACAAAGAATGAAATGTTGCCATGTTTTTATTGAACACCATGTAAACATTCACAGTGCAGGTGGAAAAAGTATGTGAACCCTTGGATTTAATAACTGGTTGAACCTCTTTTGGTAGCAATAACTTCAACCAAACGTTTCCTGTAGTTGCAGATCAGACGTACACAACGGTCAGGAGAAATTCTTGACCATTTCTCTTTACAGAACTGTTTCAGTTCAGCAATATTCTTGGGATGTCTGGTGTAAATCGCTTTCTTGAGGTCATGCCACAGCATCTTGAGGTCAGGACTCTGACTGGGCCACTTCAGAAGGCGTATTTCCTTCTGTTTAAGCCATTCTGTTGTTGATTTACTTCTATGCTTTGGGTCATTGTCCTGTTGCAACACCCATCTTCTGTTGAGCTTCAGCTGGTAGACAGATGGCCTTAAGTTCTCCTGCAAAATGTCTCGATAAACTTGGGAATTCATTTTTCCTTCAATGATAGCAATCCGTCCAAGCCCTGACGCAGCAAAGCAGCCCCAAACCATGATGCCCTCACCACCATACTTCACAGTTGGGATGAGGTTTTGATGTTGGTGTGTGGTGCCTTTTTTTTGCCACACATAGTGTTGTGTGTTTCTTCCAAACAACTCAACTTTGGTTTCATCTGTCAACAGAATATTTTGCCAGTACTGCTGTGGAACATCCAGGTCCTCTTGTGCAAACTGTAAATGTGCAGAAATGTTTTGTTTGGACAGCAGTGGCTTCCTCTGTGGTATCATCCCATGAAATCCATTCTTGTTTAATGTTTTACGTATTGTAGATTCGCTAACAGGGATGTTAGCATTTGCCAGTGACTTTTGTAAGTGTTTAGCTGACACTCTAGGATTCTTCTTCACCTCATTGAGCAGTCTGCGCTGTGCTCTTGCAGTCATCTTTACAGGACGGCCACTCCTAGGGAGAGTAGCAGCAGTGCTAAACTTTCTCCATTTATAGACAATTTGTCTTACCATGGACTGATGAACAGCAAGGCTTTTGGAGATACTTTTATAACCCTTTCCAGCTTTATGCAAGTCAACAATTCTTAATCGTAGGTCTTCTGAGAGCTCTTTTGTGCGAGGCATCATTCACATCAGGCAATGCTTCTTGTGAAAAGCAAACCCAGAACTGGTGTGTGTTTTTTATAGGGCAGGGCAGCTGTAACCAACACCTCCAATCTCATCTCATTGATTGGACTCCAGTTGGCTGACATCTCACTCCAATTAGCTCTTGGAGATGTCATTAGTCTAGGGGTTCACATACTTTTTCCACCTGCACTGTGAATGTTTACATGGTGTGTTCAATAAAAACATGGCAACATTTAATTCTTTGTGTGTTAGTTTAAGCAGACTGTGATTGTCTATTGTTGTGACTTAGATGATGATCAGATCACATTTTATGACCAATTTGTGCAGAAATCCAGATCATTCCAAAGGGTTCACATACTTTTTCTTGCAACTGTATGTATTATGAATATAAATTGTCACATGGTGTTGTGGTTTTGGATAAATTAGTTTGCAGAATTCAAAGAGTTTCACAATAAATGGCCAAGATGGCTGCTGAATATATGCTTCAAAAAGCATCAAGATGGCCACAAGTCATGTGTCCTGGTGAAACCTAGTTACACTAACAATAGAGTTAATGAAAGCCCACATATAGTTGCAAGCATTCAAAACCAACCCTTTTCTTTTGTACGGCTGTAATATTAGATCTTTAGCTCCATAAAGTATTTCAGCAGAGTTATAGCCTAACAGGAAATCCTCAAATGACAATTGCTCAAAGTGCAGCAAAATATTTAATAACTAGATGTTGGAGAAAATATAACAAATATTAATAAACATGTTCTGGCTAAACACTTGTAATACTAACTAGACAATTATCCTTTGCATTAATAATCATATATTTCCCATGATTGCTGTTAAAACATATCAAAGGCTTTCCAAGGAATTTAATCTTAACCCAAGTGTAAAAGCTATAACAAAATTAAACAGTTTTATACTTAAAGTCACAGGATCTTAGATGAAATGGAGATCAAGGATTCTGCTTCTCTGGATAGATCAAACTTCATGTCCCAGGATAAAAAATATGGGCCCAGAGCACATACGTGCAGTGCCGGTGCTAGGATTTTTAGTTACACAGGCGAACATGCATTTTGGTGCCCCTCAACCTCCTTTAAAAAAAAAAATGCATCTTCACCTGTGTGTATTTCCTCCCAAGCCACAGGCATAATTTTTCAGTCACACAGTCAAAGTCATACAGGTACACTGTCATACAAACACAGAAATAATCATACAGAGACATTTAGACACATACAGTCAGTCAGAGACATACAGACATACAGGCAAAGACATCCATGCATACAGAGACATGAAGGCATATAAAAACATGCATACATACAGAGGCATACCGTCATACAGACACATACATACATACAGAAACATACATACAAAGACATCCAGGCACATACATACATACAGACACATACATACAGGCATACAAAGACATGCATGCATACAGAGACATACTGCCATACAGACACATACATATATACAGGCATACAGAGACATACAGATACACATACATACATACAGACATACAGGCATACATACAGAGACATACAGGCATACAGAAACATACATACATACAAGACATACAGGCATACAGACACATACAAACATTCATACATAGAGAGGCAAACCGTCATACAGACATACATACATAAACATACATACAAAGACATACAGGCATACAGAGACACACAGACACATACGTACATACAGAGACATAAAGGCATACAGTTACACACATGCATACAGAGACATATATACAGACATTCAGAGACAAACAAACATTTAGTTACATACATGCATGCATACAGATACATGCATGCATACAGAGACATACATACATAGAGATAGATACATACATACAGAGACATACATACACAGACATACAGACATACACACATACAGAGACATACATACATACAGAGACATACATACAGACAGAGACATACAGAGACATACATACATACATACATACATAGAGACATACATAGAGACATACATAGAGACATACAGACACACATTCATACAGACATACATACAGAGACATACATACACAGACATATATAATTACATACTTACATCTGTTAAATCTTGTCCCCTGGGTGCATGCTGTCCGGCTCTGTGGAGTCCAGTCCTGCAACCCAGCCCCATCACAGGGCGCCAGCCGCGCTGTGTGGGACACAGGGAGCAGGGATATGATGTCATTCATATCCCCGCCCCCTCCACACAGCCTGCGGCAGACACCAGGATAGGAGGTGGGCGGGCTGAGGCTGAGCTCCGCGGGCGGGAATCTCTGGGCTGCGCTCGGCCACTCTACAAGTAGTAACCAGCTGGAGGGGAGCCAGGTGCGCTTCCCTCCTTCCTGTCTGCCTGATGTCGCGCCCCCAGGGCTGGTGCGCCCTAAGGCGGCCGCCTGGGCCGCCTTATGGTAGCGCCGGCCCTGCATACGTGCAGCCTTAGAAAAAGAGTAAGACTGCCTGTGCCCCCATACTGCTACATCGCTGCTATCCCCCAACAAACTCCAAAAAGTAACTCTCCAAACATCCACAAAACAGCCTTACAATTATCATAGTAACATGTCCCTCCTTCCAGCCTATTCCCTACCCATCAATCTGCCTCCTGACTCTGAACTGGTTAAACTGGTCAATTGTCAATTAACCTTTTCAGTGCTTAAGACTGGCATTTATGTAGGGAATATTTGTTAAATGGGGAACTTATAACTTTGAGAGTTATGGGTGTTAAAGTACAAATATTGTGTTAAAATGGTAGTCATATTTCATGTCCATAACACTCCACCTCTTGCTTTTACACAATGATGATACTGAAGTTATTGTTAATAGGGAATTTCTTCAAAATCCATATTTGCTATTTTGCGAAACATGCATCTGAGCTTCCCATCCAAATAATTTGAAGTCTGGTGTTTCATAAAGCTTGTTCATTGCTTTCATCAGGCTGGATATATGGGCACCGTCTTTCTTCTTTACTGATGGGGACTTGGTATTCGAAGGGAATGTACATCTGGTTTTAATGTAATGTGTTGGACATCTATGGAATCAGAGGGGCTATACGGTCATTATCATTAGAATAATCATTTAATAATACAGTTTTAATATTACCATGACTAACTTTAATAACCTCTTCTTCTTTCTACTTCATAAGACCTTTGGATCCCTACTTAATTAGTGGGATGCCCTGAATGACACCTCTCCTAGAACTGTATCAGCAGTTTTCCTACTTGTTTTAGTTCTAATCAAAGATGCACATTAATTTGTCCACACATACTGTACAGTTCTACAACCTTCTTTGGTTCACTCATCAGTGACTTAATTACATGTACTGGAATATTTTGACTGGAGGCTGTGGAGGCTGCCTCTATCCAAATGGAATGGCCAGAAAAGTTGCTAGCATTCAGAATTTAGCTGTTGTTAAGACATCTTTGTATAAGACTAGCAGTGGAATGTCAGACTGCGGTGGTAATAATTGGAGGTATGTATCCAGTACTTTCATCGGGCACCATTTGTTTGCAGTAGAATAATATGTAATTGGTACTATCTTGCCCAGCTGGCTTGTTTTCGTAACTGGTAGTGACAAGATATAGTGATCATGTAATTTGGTGAGATGAGACCGTTTGAGGCAGTTTCGTGTATGGTAAACTCGCCTGGTCTAAGAAAACCGAAATATGCCGAATAGATAGCTGTTTTGATTACCATGTTTGTATAGTGTTCAAATGGGGCCGTGTCCAACAAGTCAGACATGTCCTTAAATAGCTGCTTATGTACTGGTAATCTTGTGGTTGGAGGAGTGGTACCGGATTTTTCTATTCCTTTGAGGATGTTTTTTATAGGGTAAGATAAGAAACTAGAGTTATCTGGGTATAAGGTATACATGTGGTGTTGTATGCTGGTTAAATATAATTTGATGGTGTTGTGTGACAGTTTGAATTTTAGATGACAAAATGAAGCAAAAGCTACCAGTGTGGAAATGGCAACAAAAACTGCACCAAGTTATGTTCTACCATAAACCTCTTGTATAGTTTGAAGGCTCTATCGTAAGACAGGTTAGTATTTTTGGACAGGGCTAGACTAGCCAATTCTTTCAGTCCATTACCAGCTCCTGAAAACTTGGTGCTGCAGTGGCCATTGGGGATGCCGTGGCTGACTTCTCTTTGAATGCCTGGAATTCAAAGTGAGACAACTCGTCAGCTGCAGTATTAAATGGTACATGAGAACACACCAAATAAAAGTGATTGCAGCCAGCCAGGTCAGTCTTCTCATGAATCTCATGATTGTCAGAGACTCCGAACAGCCTTTGTTTATGATGTGGCAGGTAGCTTGGTTGTCGGAAAAACAGCATACCAAGCTACCTGCCCAAGACTGACCCCACACCACGGCTGCTGCAACTATGACTTCAATGTGCTGGACCTCCTCTGGCCAACCATCCCAAAGCCACTCATTTCCAAATATGGCAGCAAAACTCGTTGATTCTGCCGCATCCATCCAAATGACCGGAGAATGGACAGACAATCTAGGCAAGAACATGCTTCTGCCATTCCACTGCAACAAGAATTTGTGCCACATTAGCAAATCAGCCGTAGCCTGTGCATCCAAGCTGATACGGACAACTTCATTTGGTATGAGAGGGAGGGGGTGTCACATCATGCCATGTTCTGCGGAGATGTCTGGCTTTGGCTTCTGGTATCTAATACTCTTTTTACATTTCTTGTTTAGTTTTTCTTGGTTTTTCTGGTTTTCTATTCTGTGTCTGGGTTTCTTTATGCTGTTTTTTTTTGGGTTAATTCCTGTAATCCGTCCCTGGAATTACTAGTCTCCTGGATTAATTTATATGTTTGTTTTATGTTGCCACACCCGTTTGTTTTCCATTTTCTTTTTGTTTCAGTCTGGACCTGCAGCAGTGTTTCAAGTCTCTGCCCTTTCTTGCAGGTAAGTGCTATTGTGGTTTAATATGGTTCTTTTAGCGAACATTAGGCAGTGTAGGACCTGCCGAATATGGGGTACATTGGCGTTGTGGCAGGCTTATGCAATGTATGATCATATAATGTAACTAAATCCCCACATTTTTCATATATAGTGCTTAGTTATGTCTCCTCTTGTTTTGTCTATTATATCTTGTCTTGTTTTATTTTGTAATCCCAGTTCATGTACAGTCCTGTCCTGCCCTGTTCTTGTTTTCCTCATGTCTTGTGTACATGTTCTGGGTTCTGCTTTCTGTCCTGCTCTGGTTCTGGGTTCTATTAGTTCTGTCTTGTTTTCATGTTTGATGACTATCCTAGCCTTGCCTTGTTTCTGTACTGGATACATGTCTGCTGCAGATCCCCCCTATCCAGTTCCTGGGAGGTCTGCATATCAAGCTCCTAGGTCCTGGGATCAGCTGTAGCTGCATCAGGGTTCTGGTATGTGGCCGCATAAACACTGGTGCTCAACGCCAGAGGATGTGTGGTTACCCTGCACCAGGCCCTGATAGTCTATTACCACGCTGAAGACACCCACTTCTCATCAGGTACTCAGGGGTCCTGGTTTCTGTACCGCCACCCGTGACAGGGGGCAAAGAAGTCTAGAAATAAAGGCCCAACCTTGCAGGATGATGCGTATAGCAAAATTTAACAATCCCAACAAAGATTGCAATTCTTTCCGATTGCATGTCCTATTGACCAAAAATGTGTTGATGGTTCGTAGTATGCTGTAAATTTTACCTGGGGGTAGGCTCGCTACCATGTTTACTGAATCAAGCAGGATACCAAGGAAATTAACTAACGTGTCAGGGCCTTCTGTTTTCTTGGGAGAAACTGGCACCCCCAAAGAATTAAAAAATGAGATGGCCTTTGTCAGATCACTGGGGGAAGAGGACTTATTCTCCATCAACAGAAAGTCGTCCAGATAATGTATAATGGCCTGGCATCTGCAACTGTTTAACAGCAGCCAACATAGGGTTTCGGAAAAGGTATCAAATATTTTTGGGCTGCTTTTTGACCCGAACGTGAGTCTTGTGAAAAAATAATAGACACCTTTCCATTTCAAACCATGCAGATGCCATAGTGATGGGCGTATGGGTAGTAATTTAAACGCATTGACGATGTCAGTTTTACTGAGCCAAGCCCCTATGCCTGCTGTAATGATGGTGTGTATGGCGTTGTCTATAGTGGCGTACTGGAGTGAAAATTCTTCAGATGGAAATAGGGAATTAAGGCTTGGTATGGCCAAGTAGTGAGGTGCGTATAGGTCTAAAATAAGTCTGTGTTTCTCTGAGGATTTCCCAGTTACTAATCCTGTGGGGTTGGTTCGCCAATTGCAAAATGGGGGCTTGCGAAAAGGTCCCAATAAGAACCCATCCTCCAATTCTTTGTGTAAGAGAGCGTCAACCATTACCACGTTTGAAAATGCTGTTTGTAAATTGTTGCATTCGTAAATGCCAGCGGGGATATGAACCAACCCTGGATGGAATCTCTCTGTGAAAACATCTATCAAAAAATGCAATAGGTATTTGGATGGATGAGAGGCTAATGCGTGAGTGAAAGAACCAATCTTTACAGATGTCAGGTATGGTTTAGCATGACTTTTATTGGGATACATGAACTTGGCGTGTGCCCTAAAACAATGTGAACTAATAAGCAGAGTAAGTAATACTACAACAGTGGAAGGACCTAAATGATCGATCCACCGGAGTTGTTATTGGTTGAAGGGTATCAGGGCATAACCCAAAATAACAGTAACAAAGAAAGAAATTAAATGGGTAAACTGAAACAGTACACCCAAAATCAGAATCTAAACCCTAAAAATTATCAACTCAAAAAGTTGCCAGTAATGGAGCCTAAAACGAACTAGTTATAATCTGTATAAATCTTTATTAATCCCTCTTAAGGGGAATAAAATAAAATAAAGAAATAAAGTGAAAAAGTGTGTGTGTACAATGACCAAATTCTAAAAAGGATCATCAATTGACCGATTCACACAGTATCATTCACACAGTACAAATCACTTTAGATAGCTGTTGGGAGATATAATATAAGTAAAGTCTTCTTATAAATAGCTTCCAAATGCTGCCTTATCCATAATCGGCTAAATATATTAAAAAATGTATGCCTAGCTCACAATAAATGCATGTCTCCTACTTAATATTATCACAGTAACAAAAGGATGTTGCAGGTAGTCAGGGCCGGATTAACATAGGGGCTGATG